GTGTGTGTGTGTGTGTGTGTGTGTGTGTGTGTGTGTGTGTGTGTGTGTGCGTGCAGGCTCCTGGACGGCGGTGTGTGACCAGCGTCTGGTTCTCGGTCACTACTTCTCGGCTCTGGAGGACCTCTGGCTCGGTCTGCACTTCTACCACAGCTGTGCAGACCGAGAGCAGGGAGGCCGCTCGAGACCGGCCACCGAGGCCCGGGCGGGCATGGCGGACGTCTACCTGCAGCAAGGTTGACAACACACACACACACACACACACACACACACACACTCACACACACAAACACTTAAAAGGTGAAGCAGCCGTGATGTCCTGCAGGTGAGCTGCAGCAGGCGAAGCAGCAGGCGGAGCTGTGCCTCCATCAGGCGGAGGAGGGCGGCTGGCTGGACTCTGACGGTCGGCCCCTGAGGCTCCGGGCCCTCAGAGCTCTGTGGAGGATCTACAGCCGGCTGGCCGACGCCCCGCTGGACGCCGAGGACCACGACGAGGCCCTGAAGCTGCTCCACGAGGGCCACAGCATAGCTGTCGAGTGTAGGTTCAGTTTACAATGTAGTGTAACTTTTAAAAAGTTTACTGAAATACAGCTTAAAATAAACTTCTTGTGAGTATGAAAAACACTCTTTAATGAGTGAAAATAAAGTATACTTTAATAAAAACATACAAATATTGTATAACAAATTACTCACCACACTAGAATACTTCTATAAGTATAAGTACAAGTACTTTTTAAATTACACTTAAACTCCACTTATAATGAAGTACACTTGTTATAAATACAGTAAAGTACCACTTTTAAGTATTGCAGAACTAGTATTTTTATTTTAGTACATTGAAGTTTTTTTTTGAAGAACTCTTTTAAAGTACATGTAACTTTAAGTTCAGTGTACTTGTAGTAACTTTAGTTAAACGTGAGCGTGAGACTCGATGTTTGTTGTTTTCAGCTGAAGACAAACACAGCGAATCAGAAGCCTGCTATCGACTCGGACTGACCTATCAGAGAGCAGGAGACTGTGACACAGCCAAGCAGGTGTGTGTGTGTGTGTGTGTGTGTGTGTGTGTGTACATTTTAAGTGTTAAAATCTCTTT